CGGGGGGAAGGTTTGCACGAAAGGGACTGTAAGTGATTTAGGGTTTCTAATGCCCTATTTCATCTGTTGGGTGCCCAACCCGGAAAACAAACCCGGGTCCAAACCAGAAAATAAAAAAAAGGGCCAAAACGAAAAACAAAAAAATGGCCCAAAAACGGCGCCATGTCCGCCATGTCCGCCACGGACTGCCACGCCAAACCCGCCGTAACGGCCGCCATCTCCAAAATGGCGGAACCCCGCCATTTTCACCCTAAACTGCCATAAAGGATTGCGGCCGCCGCCGCCTCGCCTTTATGGCCCCGTTATGGCGCCGCCATAACCGTTTTTTGATAACACTGTATTATTATTGAACAAAAATTCTTAACAATTTATTTTTGGAGTGGTTAGAAGATAATATAAACTATGAAGGAATGTTTCCCCCAAGCGAATAATAATAACAATGATATTATAACAAAATAATTAAATAGTATTCAATAAAATATTAAAAATGTCATTATAATCACTATCCACTCACAACGCTGAAAAACCAATTAAACGCTCCCTGGACAACTCTGGAATTGTGAGAGTTTGTAACAATGAATCTGAATGCCAACAAATATTCAACAAGTCTTTATTTAGGTTGTGGCTATACCTCAAGAACCAATAAATTAAGAAAGAAGTGGTTAACATCTCTTGCTCCATAGAGGACTATTCAAAGTGAGTTGTACTCAAAAGTTTCTCCAAAATTTCCAAAGCATAGTTTCAAATGAGGGAGATGGAGCACAAAAATAGAAGATGGGAGAAGAAGAGATGGGGAGACATGTTGAAAGAGAATAAATATTGGGGGCTGGAGAAGCTTTGGTCTCCTTTTTATTTTTAAACTTGTTTTTTTTTTTTGGTTTTAGAAATGGTTTGTTCCATTATCATTCTGTCATTCCTTTCCAGGCTGGTGCAAAACATGTTTATGCCGTGGAAGCATCTGAAATGGCAGAATATGCACGTAAACTTATAGCTGGGAACCCAATATTGGGTCAACGAATTACAGTAAGATTTTTTTCTTTGTTTACTTCAGTAGTCAATTAGTTATCTGATAGTTCAGGGGACTATCTCATGTAATATTTATATATATAGGTTATTAAAGGCAAAGTTGAGGATGTTGAATTGCCAGAGAAAGCAGATATTCTGATCTCTGAGCCCATGGGTAACCTTCTGTTCTACTTGCTCCAGTCAATCTAGAGAATGATGCTGATATTCCACACATAAGTTTTATTTTTGTCAATAGATTTTCTGCTGCTGCTTAGTGTTGAGATAAGTTTTGTCAGAGAAATTTGGAAATGCAAGTGCTGTATGGGAGTTGGTAGTTTCTTAACCATTTTGTTGGTAATTTATAAGTCGGGGAGATTTCTGTATTGTTGTACAGGCACCTTGTTAGTTAATGAAAGAATGCTGGAGTCTTATGTCATTGCCAGAGATAGGTTTCTCACCCCTAACGGGAAAATGTTTCCTACAGTGGGAAGGTACTTTGAAGCTCACTTTCTCACCTTTCACCCCCCCTCCTCCCTTTTTGTGTGTGTGATACTATTAAGCATGATTATGACGACATGACTCTAAGGAGGCAAGTTATTGGGATAATTATCTTCCATTTAAAACAGTTATTCTAATCTCAATATGTTTTTTCAAGATGCAATTCTTGTTCTTATGCTACACTCGTGTGCCTTTTTGTGTTTAAAAATACTACATATTTTAGTTCCAAATGGTTAGGATTTAATTTTTTGCATCATCCCCACCCCCTCTCAAAACTAATAATTATCTAAGAATTATTCGTCAACTCCTAACCTTGAATTTATTACTTCTGTAGGATTCACATGGCTCCTTTCAGTGATGAATATTTGTTTGTTGAAATTGCTAATAAGGTAAGCAATTATGTGTGGGTTTCACACAGACACCCATACATATTTATTTTCTACACCTTCCACTTTGATATAACTGGATCACAATACTAAAAGATCCTCCCTTCCAAAAGAACAATTCCTTTGGCTTTGTTGAGTCCAGGTTGTTAGCTGTTGATTTCTTATTTTTCTTTTCAGAATTTTATCATTATCTAGTATTCTTTTAGTGATAGTTGATAAAAGAATTTTTTTTTTCTGACTGTTGATTCTTGAGACATACCATTCTTTTTTCTTTTGTTTCTTAAATTCATTGATCAATATTGTTCTATTCTATCCTCAGGCCCTGTTTTGGCAACAACAAAACTACTATGGTGTTGATTTGACGCCCTTACATGGGACCGCCTTTCAAGGATATTTTTCTCAGGTATCTTTGTAGCTTGGTTTCGAAAAATGAACTGAATATTTCTAACTTATCCGTGCCAATAAGAGTAGGATGTATTTGGAACATACAGCATAAAATGTTTGTTTGGGATCCCACAGAGAGTATGTGATATCTGTTTTTCACAATGTTGTGGGTCAAATTAAAACTTGACATCTTTTTTCCTTTTATTAATGCTTTCACGTTTCTGGAGATTATAAGACTAGTAATTTACTTGATGGCATTGGCATTATTAGTGTAGACATATAAATGCTTTATTAATGTTTGAATCACAACTTCAACTGTTTTTGCATAATTCATACCATTCTTTGTCAAATTCATGTTTCTAAGACAAATACACAGGATTTGACATTTACATAGCAAGCTGAAGAGGATTATTTTATATGCAGCCTTATTAGTTTGTAAATTTGTTGTTTTAATAGGAGAAAAAACCTTTTAGGCTTTTGTCAATTTCAAGGTATTGTACATTTTTTGTCCTGGCAAAAAAATTACTGTATGCCAGGTCTTAATAGACCCCAGTGTAATTTTTTTTAAAGATATATAAGTACATGGAGATGCTCATATTTTTGTTCTTTTAAATCACCACTTTCCCCTTGGATCCTGTATGATAGAAACTGGATCAGAAAGAAGAAAAAAATGGGTATTCTTTATTGATTGAATGCATGAAAGAATGAAAATCAGGTATTTGAGAGACCTGAACTCTTCAATTCAATCTGTACACTTCCAATCTTCCAACCCAGTTACTACAGTTAGTTACAACTGTTTCTGTCTATCAAATAATGGTCTAATTCTCTGTTCCTCTCGAATTCCTTTTAACATACATCCTACTAATAGGGGTCATTGTCGATCATTAACTCACCCCCTCTGTGAGATCCACCTTGTCCTCAAGGTGAATTTTCCTCTATTCTGTTTAGCCCCACAATAAATTCTTGATCCTCCTCTTGCAGGGCTCCTCTGATGATCTTCTAGTAGTTAATCCCACTATGCTATGCATGGACAACTGAGCTGTGACTTTCTTCTCCCTCTGATTCTCCTCCAATTTCCTCATCCTCTCCACCCTTATTTTCCCCTAATTCCATCGCATGGAGCTGTTTATTTTTGTAGATGAGATTGGGGCTGAACTTTCCATCACACCTCAAACACTCTCCCTCACTTTCTCCTGCATGTTAACCTCATAAAACTGGACTTCCCCTTCATTTGATTAGCACCATACCTGTTCTGATTACTTGTGGAAGCTTGGGGAATAGAACTTCCTGTCTCAATCAACTTTAGTGGTGGTAGAACTCCACTCTGTTGGGTCTGTTATTGGTATAGTTTCTAACTTTCTATAGGATTTCACTGATCTTCCACCTGAATATTCCCCTATTTTCGCCACTACATGTTTCTTTTCTTCAATTTTCCTAGCTTTGCTCATCATCTTGACAATGTCTTTGGCTCATTAACAGATTGACTTTTCTTTAAGGAAAGTAGCAATTCAGATTGGCTTCTATCTATTGTTGGTAGGAATCTCTGAATAAGTGCTGTCTTGAACCCTTCCTGAGACAGATTTTGGTTGCAGGTTTCCCACCTCTGGTACCAGTGAACAGCATCTCCTTCTAAAGCTACCATCACTGTTTGCATCTTTCTTTTTCAGTTACTTCCCTTAACCGGAAATAACACTCCTATTTGGGCATCTTCTCCCTCAGATTGGGATTTCTAATTATATCATTTGTGGCTGGACACTGTTTTGCTCTGATTTTACTCATTGGTTCATATTCTTGGTTCTTCCCCTTGTTCACAATCTTGCCCATTGCTGCTATCAATTGTGTGATCATATTCTCCAACTTTGTGGGCATGTTGGTGTTCTTGTTGAGGGAAGTTGGCTCCCATGGCTTGGTTTCAATTCTAGCTTGCTATTATTGTCCTCTTCAAATTGTTGATTCTAACCTCCATTGTTGTTGGCACCATAGCTTGCTGCCTGCAGAAAATATGGTATCCAGTGCTCCAACATCAGAGCTCTAATACTAGTTTGATTGTAATTGGCTTAGAAAGAAGAAAAAGGAATTCTTTATTGATTGATTGCATGAAAGGACAGAACTCAGGCAATTGAGGGACCTGAACTCTCCACTCCCAATTGTCTACTTTTTCCCCTCTTTTCATACGCTTCCAATCTCTCAACCCAGTTACCAGAGTTAGTTACTACCGATTCTGCCTATCAACTAACTCAGGTCTAACCCTCTGATCCTCTCCTAACAGGGAGCTGTTGTCTATCACTGTATACTTTAAGTGCTGAATGTTGGTTTCAGTAAAAGTGATAGGAAAAATGGCTTGTGGAAGATACAAATTAATTTATGACAATTGATGGTGCCTATTGTAAAAAAAATGGTATAATCTTGACTTTGGTGGTTTAGACGTGCATGGTGAAGACCGGTAGAAGCCTGATTTAGAAGAACAGATTAAATGGCGAGTAGCCCTATCATTAGGGCAGAGGGAGACTGAGAAATTATAGTTCAAACCATTGGTAAGGAATAACCTTACCTGTTGGGAAAGTGCTTGGTTGTTGTTGACTTGTTGTTGATAGTGCCTTATCACCATGATTTGACATCTCTCTTCCTGGATTTAGTTTTAGAATTCTTTTGATATGATTTGTTTAGTTTTTTGAATCCTTTCAAAATCCTGTGGGCAAACCAGAAGTGGTTAAAATGTTCCTTAACCTTAACTAATAGCTTTCTGTTTTGATATGATCTGTTTAGTTTTTTGAGTCCTTTCGAAATCTCTGGGCAAAACAGAAATATTAAAATGTTACTAATAGCTTTTGCCTGCTGTAGGGATTTCTTCTGAGTCATTTTGTCAAATGAAATAGAATTGGACTGTTATGGTTATTAAATTTATGTTGTGGATAAATTTATGATATATTCTCCCGCTTCACTTTTTTCTCTTCTCCATGTAGCCTGTGGTGGATGCTTTTGATCCAAGGTTGTTAATAGCTGCTCCAATGTTCCACGTGATAGACTTTACCAAAATCAAGGTAAGCATTTACTCCATTTTATTTGGTGAGATGGTTTATTGTTTTATTTTCCTGAGGTCCCATTGGACCATAAATTCCACTTTTCCAGCTAATAAATTTTGTATACCAGCATATTTTCGTCCGGATTCCCTTTAATAGAAGTTTTTTCATCTGGTTGTTTGCATTCTTCAGTTATCCTTTGATAAGAATTTATTGAAACTTTTATTTGCAAAGCCATGTATATTTTTAGCTATGTATCATTGTTTTGCTATGGGTCTATTGCTGGTTAGCATCTTGGTTCAATTCATTTTGGGGTTATATTGTTTCAACGTTTAGAAAGAAATTTCGTAGGAATTTGTGATCAAATCATTTTTAATTCTGTAGGAAGAAGAGCTGTATGAAATTGACATTCCTCTCAGATTCATAGCCACTGTGGGTGCCAGACTACATGGGCTGGCATGTTGGTTTGATGTACTGTTCAATGGAAGGTAATCATTCCTCATCTAGTTCAATATTATCTGTGTTTCTATTCATCAATGCATTGTGATTGTTCCCATCAGTTAATGTCGCCCAATTATTCCAAATCCACAGTACTGCTCGAAGGTGGCTTACCACTGCTCCTGGTTCACCTACAACCCACTGGTATCAGTTACGCTGTGTTCTTACACAGCCAATATATGTCGTGGCAGGACAAGAAATTACTGGCAGGATGCACTTGATCGCCCACACTGCTCAAAGTTATACAATCTATCTAACATTGTCAGGTTGGTAATAGTTTTCTTTTCCCTTTCAATTTTATTACTATATTATATCTTGTAACATGCAGTAGATGAACAAATTTCAATTTGCATTTAGCTAAAATGTGGGGGCCTGGTGCTGAACAAGGAGAGATTCTTCAAACATCATACTGTAAACTTGATCTGAAAGAACCATACTATAGAATGTCTCAACCGCAAGCTTATCCATTGACTCAAGATCAGCAACCTCAATCTCTTTTACAGACACAGGTATTGAATTTACAATCAGATACCTATTTCTTTCCATTCTTATTTTGTGAGTTTAAATTCTATGGAGAAACTCGAAATAGGTGGGTTTCACACTTGATAAGTCTGTTAGTTGGAGTATGTGTTTGGATGAATCGAAAAAAGTGGGAAATTATGGTTATTACATGTTCGAAAAAGTTTGATGTTTGACTACACTGTTATTCTTAAATCATGATTTTAAACTTTTCCTTACTTCCCCCAAAGTGAGCCATCCAGGACAATAGTAACGCAGCAGCTCTGTTGGAATAATTGCATTAAGATCTTAGAGCAATTATTCAATCCTTTTTTTTTTCGTTTATTGCATTAGTGTTTTCTGTGACAGTCAGTTTCTTTGACAGGATATACCCATCCAATCTCAGGATTTGGATGAAGCGGAGATGATGCAACAGCCTTCGCCTAATTCATGTGCTCAAATCGACTCCCTCATGCAGAATGCTTAATTTGATGGATACTAACATGAGATTTCTGTTCGTAACATGAATTATCTAGTTGGGGGAATGTGTCCGTCTTTATTTGGACATACCTCTTGCCTGTAAATTCACCAATGCTGCTTTTGTTATTTATTGCGAGTGGTTTGTGCTGCAGATCCTGTATTCAAATGCATCGTAATTTATCCAGCAATACATTGAATCCTCAAGCCTGGTAATATCGATAGCTTCTGTAAAATTGTTTAATTAGGTATTGAATTTGCCTTTGTAGGGACAGTATTAGGCTCATCCACGTAGAAAGGGGAAAACACGCGATATTGTTGGTACGAAATATTGCTTTTGCACTATTTCAGTTGAAGCGGTGATGCTTTTCAATGAATTAACTGGAATTGGTTTTCAAAAGGAAATTCATTAAAGAGAATATTTGAAAATTAAGATCATGCATGTTGTGTCAAAATATCTTCTCAAAATCCAGGCAGGTACGTTTTTTCAGCATCTGAAGATCTGTTCCAATCAATGATACTACCATATTATTTTATAAAGAAAAACACTTAATGGAACAAGCTACGGTATGCACTACAAAGAACCTTAATTAGACGGACAAGCTGCTGGCATTCAGGTTAAACATGCAAGTTGCTAATTTAGAGAGGCAGTGATGGCAACTCCTAGTGAAGAAGATCGATGATCTTCACTTCTTGGAGATGCACGGCCACTTGATCTTCTCCTTGAAGTTGCTGGATGAAAATTCCAGCTAGGAAGAAGCTTGAAACGGAAAGAATGAAGAAGAATGAAGAAGGGAGCACCAAGGCAAGGTCAGTGATGGATTACTCACAAAGGTGCTAATCCTAGAGAAAGTTCAAGAGAACCTAGAGTAGGTGTGGGGACTTTGAAGGAGAGAAATTGACCGATCAATTTTAAGAATTCTCTATTATGATTCAAAGTGTTGAAATGTGGGGAGAATGGTTCAATTTATAGGCTAGGAAGCAAGCACATTGACTCCAAACACAAGGAGTACAATTGGCGCCGAAAATTTGAATCTCAAATGAGATTTGAAATTTAAATTTCTTGGCAGTTCCATGTGCACATCCAAGTGCTGGTTTCATGTGCATTAAAGTTGCATTTAGAGTTAATTTGATGTTAATTTGGATGGTCCATGTGCAGTACCATGTTGGTTAGCTCATGTACATCAAATGTGACTCAAATTACTCTTAAATGTAACCTTAATTTTAGCTACTTTGCCTAATTGAACTTTCCTTTTATATTCTTATGCTAATGCCCTAAATACAATGACCAATCTATCACAAACATTAAGAAATAATAAAAAAAGCAAAATGAGTCTAATATTGGGTACTAAAAATTTAAAGGCTCGTAAAGCCCAAAACTAGGCTCTTGAAACTAAGGCCCAAAATCCTATTCTAAGTGATCCAACATACAAGATTAAAATATATGAAACTTATTCTAATATAACATAGAGCTAATCACCTATACACTGCTAGTGTAAAGTTTTTCATACTGGCAGTCAATCAAAGTCATTAATAGTACCTTTTTATCTGTTTATTTAATTAAATTAAAAAAAAATGCACTATTAACGGTTCTAATTGACTGTCAGTATAAATTTTTTTACACTGACAGTGTATAGGTGATTAACTCTATAACATATACAAATAAAAGAAGGTGGAGATCTCAAGGTGTGGTCTATGTAAAAAGCAACTTGGGCCCATCAAACTCAATGGGTTCATTGGGCTTTGATCTAGCTCAAATCTTTATGTGTATCCCATTCTTTTTGGATTCTTCAAGATGTCAGCTCTTGAGCTCTTGACCTTCTTGGCACTACAAAGAACCTTAATTAGACGGACAAGCTGCTGGCATTCAGGTTAAACATCGCAAGTTGCTAATTTAGAGAGGCAGTGTTACCAACTGGACTTTATTTTCTGTTTGGCTGATGGATTGTTCCAGCTTCATAATAACATCAGTCAAGTAGGAGTTATTCAGATCCGTGTGTAGTAATTTCTCAAGTTTGTTAATTCCTCGACGGGCTAGAAATGATGTATCAGTTTTCAAGCATAGGCGGAGCTTGAGCAACTTGTGCAGTTATTATTATACTTGAGACACTGCCATCTTTAGCTGTTGCAATGCGTCGTTTCCCATTTTTCATTTTATTTTAATAGGTTTAAAAGGTACTACCAACAACGGCATAGTTGATAGTTCGCATCGCACAGATTGACTAGTATAACCAAAAAAAAGTCATAGATAAAATGGATGACGCAAATAATGGATAATACAAAATGGATACAAATATTATTCTGCTTGCATGCTGACGGACGGGTATCATGCTATTTATACTTGTTCGTATTTTTTGATGTAAAATTGCTAAACAACCCTTCATTATAATACAAGCATTGTTCATTATTTTACTTTGTATACTATTAGGTGGATAATGGACAACTTAAATAAAATAATATTAAATTTGTCACAACATCTTTTTTAATATGAATTATTTTAATGAATTATTATTAATTATGTTAAGATAGTGAGTAATGGTGCCAATAACAATAATGACGACAATAATAATAGTAATAATAATGGTGATGATAGTGTTGTAATAATAGGGGATGAAAATGTGAATTTTTTTACAGAAACAGAATTTTAAAAAAAAATTACTGAAAAAGTATCTGTTACACATTATTTACCAGATTAATACCATTTATTGTTTATGCAGAATTCGATTCCCGGGAAAATCGAATTCTGAGCAACGTTATATATATATATTACATTTTGAATTTAGGTTATGTGTTAATTTTGTATCTGGAACGTTCGTTCTAAAATCAGAACGACCCGTTTTGCTTCCACTTTAAGTCATGTGTTAATTTTGCATCTGGAATGATTCATTCTGAAATCAGAATTGTTCGTTTGGCTTGCACTCGTCGTGTGTGTTAATTTTGCATCTGGAATGATCCGTTCTTAAATCGGAACAACCCGTTCCAGATGTAAAATTAACACACGAGTGCAAGCAGAACGGTAACAGACCGTTTCTGCTAACCCGGTAAATAATGTGCAATAGATGCTTTTTCAGTAATTTTTTTTAAAAAAATTCTTTTCTGAAAATGTAGGATGGTATAAGAGACAACAATGGTGGTAAGGGATAGTGTAATAAGAAGAGTGTTATATCCTCCGACGCATATTCCGAATGAGTCTCCAAATAATTAAAATATTAATATTTTTAAATAAATTTATTATAAAATAATTATTTAATTTTATATTTTATTATTTAGATGAATTTTTTAATCATTCGGAACAAGTTTTGACCAATTCATTCGGAACATCAAGCATTTTTCGTGTAATAATGGTGTAGTGATAATGATGATGATGGTAAGTGTTTTTGTCTTTTGAGTATTTTGTATATAAAGAAGTTGTCTTATCATCCTCTTATAAATTAAATATGGAACAATTATTTTTGTCCTTTCTAGTGCTATAATTTTTAGTCAGTAAAATGTATTAGGAGAAATGCTCATTCACCATCACAGATAAGTTAAATGCGTTAGAGTTACATAAAATCATCTCATTATTCCTGATATCATTTTTCTCCAGATGAAAATAGTTTGCAAATAGGGCAGTGCACAAGTCATCACCTAAAGTCACATTTAGTTTGCAAAATATTAAAGTAAAATAACTAACAAGCAATCTAAACAGGTAAGAAACACAATACAAAATAATCAACGAAGGCTTTAAATCAAATAATAATTTGTAGTAGAGATAGCATAAGGGTTACTCAGATCATATAAGTGGTGAGACTCCAGTCGTCGGTTAAATCGAACTGGGGAGCTGGGCTGAAGGAAAAAGATGCCATCTAGCTACCAAGCGGATCATAGTGACCGCTATTAAAGAGCATCATGTGCGAGCCAAAAAGATCTTTTGCCCAAATGCCAAAAGCAAATGAACCAATTCACTTGGGTGAAAAGGAGGGCTTTTCCTTCTTTCATCACCCGATTTAGTCTTATCATCGACAACAGCCAAGCCAATTTTGTTGATAGCTATATATGCGAAGTCGTGAACTTGGAGTCGTAATTTAATGTTGGGAACTTTCATGTTTCATGTTAAGTCAGTCAATCTTGTCTATTTATTATTTATGTGCAAAATCACTCTACACAATTCAATGCCAATCATAGCCAACACAGTGAAAATGGCTAGGGAGAGTCGTATTTCTTTGGTTAAAAATTTAAAAAGTTTACAGAGAACATATGCCTCCTAAATTTTGTTGATCACCCAAAGATATGATTGTAAGGCAAAATGTGCCTCCTCTGGAGATAGGAGGAGAGACTACAGAGGGAAGAAAACATTACTTGGCACAATTAGAGTAGTTACTGTTAGTAAGTTAGTTAGCTAGATTAATAAACATGAGGATGTAAGGTAGAGGGATATTCAGATTAGCTAACATTTGTAAACGGAGTATTTGCATTCTGAAAGACTGCTGCTCCACAGCAAACAAATTGTGGCAGTACTATAGAAGTAGATGATTACACAGTACTAGAACCAAACTGAATGAATGAAATGTTATTCCAATATCGCTACTCATGAAGAACCATGAGCATTTCAACAAATAAAGCTAAATTTCTAAACTCTGCCTTCAGCTATATATATATGACTAGTGACTATCATCACAAATACTCCTCCATTTTAGGGCTTAACTATCTTCAGAACTGAAAGAGCATGAATTGGTGATAACTTGGATTGGCAGAAGCTCTGCCACAACTCCATCTTCTCTTCTGAGTCCTTTGTCATTGCCTCACACATTGAAGTTGCAATACTTCGTGCTGCATCTCTTGCATCTGGAAGCCTATCATTCAGTAAATCCGCTGCCACTTCAATCAGTTCAGCCAATCCAAACTCCTCCATTTGTTCAAGCCCCTGATCACATTACTATAAATTAATAACTCATACCTTGAAACAGTGCACAAACACAAACACCAAAAATGCAAAAGAAAGACACCAATTTGTAATGTTACTCACCATCTTGGAGACACAGTTGGAGAGAGAAACAGCAGCCTTGGCCCTGACCCTAAGGTTTTTATGACTCACATAAACCCTCAGTTTCTGAAGCATTGGAAGAGGGGTCATGCAACCCACCATTGAGCAAAGTGCCCTATCAGCTTCTTCACAGACAAACCTTTTATCTTGGGATGCCTTCAGCAGCAGCTGCAGCAGCTGTTGATATTCATACAAACAACACATTATAGCCCATTCGTCTCTCAAATTTTTCTCAAAATTGATTTTAGTCTGTACAAGTGGTTTTGGTCATTGTCTTTTCTAAAATGTGTTGGATTTGGCCCTTTCTTAAACCAGAATAATGTATAGGATTAAGGTCAAAATTCACAACATTTCAGAAATAAAAACCAATTTTGACCACAAACACATTTTACACTATATAAACACCCATCAAAACAGATCACACAAGAGGAGATTGAGTCCAAGTACCAAGCCATCAAATGCATCAGAAGTAGAGGGGTCAAGCAACTTGTCACCAAAAGCATTGAAAATATCAGCAGCAGCCATAATAGCGGTTTTGCACAGAGCACTGCGAGGGTTCCTCATTGTCTTCGCCACCACCAACACAATTTTTCCCCTGCACACAACATCACATCATGAATTCCTCAAAACCCAATTGCCCCCGCAACTGAAAATCAAAACTTTTCAAATAAAAAAAAAAACCTAAACATCTAAACAACGTGAGAGAATAAAAACTATTCCTTACAAGATGGGGAACAGAAGAGAGGAGTGGTACAACGCGAAGCGCCTAGCATCGTTCAGCGACTCACACACTATGGTCCAATTTTTTGAATCCAAATCCTCAACCAAACTCTGCATTTCCAGGGAATCTAGAAGTCAATTTTCTGAACAGAATTGAGCTTTTATGGTGCAATTGAGCAAAACATGAACAATCGCGCATACCTGAATCTTGAATTGGGGGTCCGACAAGGGTTTAAGGTTGTCGGAGGAGACATAGTCAACAGTGGCATCCCCAGATGAGGGCAACGGAGCTTGGTTTTCGCCATTAGCACGGTCTTGTTGTTTTTGGGTTGCTACAATTGCGATCTTGGGTTGTTTTTTGGGTCTCTCTGGGGTTGTTGGAAGAGCGTTATCGATAGGTCTGAGTGCCATGGTTGAGTGTCGGAGTTGCAGAGAAAAGAGATGATGAAGAAATGAGAGGGAGCGAGTGAGAGTGTGATTTTGATGGGTATAGTGATATAAAAATCCTAACTTTTTTCGCTTGGAAAGAGACGTTGGGGTGTAACGGGAAAGAAAATTTGAAAGTGGAACGTTGCATGCTGCATACATGATTGTATCGTATGTGATTGAATTTTGGGCTTTTTGGTCATTTTAAATTTAAAAAATTCAAAAATTTAAAAGAAAAAACAAAACGCTAATTGTTGAGAAAGGGTTATCATAAAACGCTAGGGATCTAGGCGTTTTACTGACTTGTTCAATTGGGTTATTTACATACTCTTTAAAACCACCCCACTCTCTTCTCCTTCATTTCTTTTATTATGCTATTTGGTTGGTTGTGAAATTATTTATTTATTTTAGTTTTGACTGAATGAATATGTTTATGTTGGTACTGAATATTGTTAGTGGATATTTTATTTGTTGTTGATTAATTTGGTTGGTGGATACTTTACTTGTTAGTTAAATGTTTCTGTTAAAGTTACCATTTTATATTATAGGTTGGTGTAAAATCAAATATCATTCGACATTTTCAATTTTAAATTAAGGTTAGTCACGATTTTATTTTTAAATAGTTTCTTTAATTTTTCATGTAAGTTGTAATATAAATTTTATGAGTTTATTTGTGATACTAATTATTTTATTATTTAGTCATTTATGTGTCAAAACATGTATATTTAGTTAATTATTTTATGTGTAGAATTACGAAAATATTTATAATTTTTTTATTATTTTACAATTTAATACTAGGATTGATTTTTTTAATGTATATTTTTATATTACAATTTAAAATTAGGATTTGTATAGGATAATTTAAATTATTTAATGTATTATGTATTTTATTAAAATTCAAATGATTTTATAAGAAAATTATAGTTTTTAATTTTTTCTTGTACATAGCATTCATATGAAAAAATTTAAAATTATGTGCCTACAAAATAAAGTGCTTTATTTTTATTCCGTAATGTTACCTCAAGATTTAAACAAATGATAAGAAACATTAAAAATATGAAAACAAAACAAAGCAACAATTAGATTTAAAAATGAAACATATTTAAACTTAAGTATTATTATTATTTAAATGAAAATTGTAAATAAATTAAATATTTCTTTTATTTTATAGTTAAATAAATAAATGTTAATGTACTAAAGATTATTAATGTTAGTCATATATTAAATGCTATTTTTTTAAATGTTGATTATTTTTAAAGTGTATGTCCTGTGATTTTTTTATTAATTTAGACTATGATGTATGATTAATTTTTTTTAAAGTGTTATATTAGAATTTTAAAATACATATAGATGCATTTTGATTTTTCTAAAAGTATTATATTAAAATTTTAAAATGCACATAGATGTATTTAATTAATATAGTGGTTCAAGTAAATTTTAAGAAAAATCAATGTTATTGTTTTTTTAATTGAATTATTAATTTTGTTGTGATTTATTTATATTAATTTATTTTGTTTAAATCAATTTTTTATTATGATTGCACCATGTTTTGATAAATAGTTTATCCTAAACCTTTTGATGACTTATTGCTTTAAAAACATTTTTGAAATGGTGAGAATGATACGCTATTAAAGGTTAGAAAAGTTATTAAATGTTAATTTCGTGTTGGGATTGTGACACTCTTTATCTCATATATCATAACACATAATATATTGAATAACTGAATAATCTCAAATATAATAGGTAAGATCAAAATCATATAGGTACGGAGAATCACATTTTAACATAAACTAAACTTAGCAAAAATATTAAATTACAAATAAATTAAAATTAAATCACTCAAATTAAATAACATAAATCAAATCCTTACTAGTCCTAACTAATTTTCTGATGTCACATGTCTTATCAGAACATAAGCTTTCTATGAGGACTAAACTTTGTTACTAATAAAGAGTTTATAAGTGGGAAATACCCTTATTTCACAAGTTAATATTATATGTTTGAACTAGACTTAAACTCTCTATTTTAATATGATATCAAAGTTTAAACAAATGATCATCACCTTATAAGTCCCAATTTTGTAAGATTTAGTAAGATTTAAACTCACATTTTAATATCTATAAAGCATTTATGATGACAAAAGGTTAAAAATCTTTGGTAACATATTTTATGTATCAAAGTCCTTGTTTCTAATTAAAAATTATTAGTCTAAGTAGTTTGACATTTGTGTTTCTTAATTAAAGGTTAGGATTTGATTTTTGACTTGCACATAAAATTAAGATTAAAAATTCTATTTTACTCTCATAAAGACCAACTCGAGAGAAAAAAAATTATACCTCTTTATATAACTAGAAAAAAAAAAATCCTTGCCTTTGGGATGCGAGTTAAAGATAAAGTGCAAAAAATATAAATTCGAGAACTTATAATGTTTGTCATGATAAAAAAAAAGAGAAAAATAAGTTAGCTGAAAATGTAATGTATTAAGAATGAATGTCTATCTCCAAAAAGAATTACATCAAGCTTTTATATAAACAACAAAACTAATAACAGTCCAACGACAAATTCCTATGCAATTAACAATGCTAGTATAGTTTCCTCACCGTCGGTAGGCAGAGATTAACCGATGAAAATAGAATATAAGTTTCTGTATTCAATAAAAAATTAGGAATCAATATCTGTACTGTGGTGGTCTCCTATTGGCCGACCCGAGGCACATTGACAAAATGCCGAGCCCATAATAGGGACTCAAATATGGGAAGATTCACTAGCTCACTCAGACAATCAATAACATCTCACAATCCGTGGGAACGGTAATAAATACCGGGAGTTACGAGTCCACAATGGGACGTGATTTATGAGATCATAAAGAGGAGTGTGCGATTCATGTCTGTAACGCTACACCATTATATATAGCAATGATTAGGTCTAAGAAGGCAGGTTACTCTCATCAAATGTTCTAGGTCAAGACTGTTGTCAAGTTCTTTTAGCTTAATATCGCTAAGGGTTCTTCGGCGGCGGTCTCCAATACCGGAACATTTTGGCGCTGTAGACACCCAATTTCGTCCGGGGACATACAAACAAGGACATGGACCTTTGTTACGAATGGAAGGAGCTCCCGAAGCATGTCAACAAGAAGACAAGACTTTAGAGGGTCCAAAAACACAAATTAAATATTTTTATTGGCCCGGAACGGGCCGTTCCAAGGTCCAGAACGGGCCGTTCCGAGGCTCCCAAAAGGCCAAAAACCCTAATTTGGAACGGACTGTTCTGAAATTGGAACGGGTCGTTCCAATATTGGAATGGGCCGTTCCAAGATTGGAACAGGCCGTTCCAAACTCCTCAAAAAGGGCTTAAATGGTTAACTGGAACGGGGCTGGAACGGGCCTTCCTAAATCTGGAACGGGTCGTTCCAAGACCGTTCCGGTCTATGAAATCACATGTTATTCTCACTACTGGAACGGGCCGTTCCGATTTCAGAACGGGTCGTTCCAGTATACGAATTTTACATGCAACGGCCATATCCAGAACGGCCGTTCCGATTTTGGAACGGTCCGTTCTGGACCCCCTTCCCGAAGTCTATAAATAGACAGCTGGGGCTCATTTCTTAGGACTCCAAAATTTCGTCCAGACTCCTTAGAGTTTGAAATTTCTCTCTCTTTCTTTCTCCCTCTCTCTTTTGTATTTCTTAAGATTTTGTGAGGCATTATAGTGTGAAAGGTTGTCACAAAGCACCTAAAATCTTCCTGTTTTGAAGATTCAATAGAGCTCATTCAAGAGGTATTTCAGTTAATCTCTTTCTCCCTTTTTTATTTATTTCTTCTCTATAATAAATAGTTATAATAAAAATAATCATGTAGACATTTTAGGGTTAATTGTATAATTTAAATTTCAAGCATGTAAATAATTATTAATAAAAAGGGGATTTAATATTTTTATTATTATAATTTATAATGTTAACTTCATTATAGGGTACCAATTAAGGGCGCTGTAGGGGTGCTTAATACCTTCTCTGCACGTAACCGACCCCCGAACCCAATTCTGGTTATCAAGGCCATTATTGGACTTTTAAAAACCTTTTCTTTTTCCAATGTTTTGAGTAAAACATTGGTGGCGATTCCATGAACTCATTTTTCAAAATCATTAATTAAGGATTAGTCTGGTGTCCGGACATTCCTTAATTGATGAGCCTTTTAAAAGGATGTCTAAACCATTAATCGCGAGATCGTAAATTTTCGGGTTGCGACAGGCGCCCACCGTGGGGCAGGTAAAACTGCATCCCACACCTTGGTTGCCTTGTGTGATCGGGAGGTTACGATGCATAGGTTACTAAGGAGCAATAAAAACTATTGAGAAAAAAGAGGCATAGGTATGATCGAGGTCAACCAAAAGGCGTCAAGGAGATGCCATGAGGATAGCATAAGTATAAAGGCAACAAGAAGGAACGAGGATCTTCCAACGAACGCACGCACTGACCCAACGTCCTCTCTTTTTCCGCTTTCCCGGAGACGTCGTCGTTTCGCTAGGGCCGGCGCCTCCTCCTCCTCACTCCAACATGGCCTCCGCCGACAAAACGAAGCCCTCCTCCGCGCTCTCGCCCCTCGTAAGCGTCGTCGTTTTGGGCATCGCCTTCATTCACATCTCCACCGTCTTCGTCTTCATCGACCGTTGGTTCGGCCTCCTCTCCTCCCCTGGCATCATGAACGCCGCCGCCTTCACCGCCCTTGCCGCTGCTTGCGCCTTCACCTACCGCGCCGCCATTCTCACGGATCCGGGTCGGGTCCCCTCCACCTACGCCCCTGACGTCGAAGATGTCCACAGTCTCGTCCACGAGATCAAACGCAAGGGTGGAGATTTGCTCCCTGACTTGGCCTGCTTCTCCTCCAAACTCCGGCACCGATCCGCGAGGAGCGGAGCGCGTGAACTTGTCTCTCGCTGCAACTCATCGAAGTCACCGGAGCCGGCTTGGGCCTAAAGGTTGTTCGCCACGTGTCGGTGGCCGGCAACGGTAGCTATCCGCTGCGCTCAGACCTATTCGATTGCCAGAACACACACCCAATTAGACGATCCAAACCTTGGTGTGAAGAGCACCTTAAGGTTAGAATTTAGAAGACCCGAACCTTAGTGTGAATAGCATTTTAAGGTCAGAATTTTGACGATCTACACCTTGGTGTGAATAGCACCTTAAGGTCGGGATTTTGACGATCAAGACCTTGGTGCAAAAGAGCACTTTAATGTCGGAATTTAGACGGTCAAGACCTTGGTGTGAAGAGCGCCTTAAGGTCAGAATTTTGACGAACCACACCTTGGTGTGATTATCACTTTAAGGTCGGAATTTAGACGATCAAAACCTTGGTGTGAAGAGCACTTTAAGGTAGGAATTTAGACGATCAAGACCTTGGTGTGAAGAGCACTTTAAGATCGGCATTTAGACGATCCAAACCTTGGTGCAAAGAGCACCTTAAGGTTAGAATTTAGAAGACCCGAACCTTAGTGTGAATAACACTTTAAGGTCGGAATTTTGACGATCCACACCTTGGTGTGATTATCACTTTAAGGTCGGAATTTAGACGATCAAAACCTTGGTGTGAAGAGCACTTTAAGGTCGGAATTTAGACGATCAAGACCTTGGTGTGAAGAGCACTTTAAGATCGGCATTTAGACGATCCAAACCTTGGTGCAAAGAGCACCTTAAGGTTAGAATTTAGAAGACCCGAACCTTAGTGTGAATAACACTTTAAGGTCGGAATTTTGACGATCCACACCTTGGTGTGATTATCACTTTAAGGTCGGAATTTAGACGATCAAAACCTTGGTGTGAAGAGCACTTTAAGGTCGGAATTTAGACGATCAAGACCTTGGTGTGAAGAGCACTTTAAGATCGGCATTTAGACGATCCAAACCTTGGTGTCTTATTAGGTCCTCTTCCACCTTCCCTACGAGTGCAAAGTGGGATCCACTAAAATCCACTTCCTTCATATTACTTATAACCATATAATTTTGAAGGATGATTTCCTACTTATTATTATTTATCTTGACCTTAATATTCCTTCATTTCCTGATTTTAGCAAGCATCCATGACCTATAGGTGGGACTTCGTTAGGCAAAACCAATTTTTTGTGTACCAAATACTCCTTATGGCCTAGTTTTGGCCGCTCTTGGGCTTCCATGAAAAAATGATTCACACAAGACTCCGTCACTTCTTGATCTTCCCCTTCACCCTTTTGGACAATATTATCCACATTGGCAGCCTCTTCCATGCACTACGTCAACTTGGGCCAATATCTTCCATAATTAAAGCATATGGAATGTAATCCTTCACACTCCAAATTCAAAATGAGACCTAACACGTTAATCTATGAGACTAATTTCTTGCTTAAGTCAATCTCACCACAAATATGAGCATATCTACCTCGAGAATGAATAGAGGTCAACTTGTCTATATTTAGCATCGAACCTAATCTTGCACCTACACTCTAAAGGAAAAAATCTTTATAAAGTTCTATCAATAAGCTTGGAATGTGTATCCAAACTACAATTTTACAAATCTCCTTCTCCGAAGTAGTAAAGAAGGGTCTCCAACATTAAACTATCATATAATGGTTAGCTAGATGACAAGGCCCCTTAAGCAAAGTGTGTCGATATTCCTCAGCATCAATTAGTTGCACTAGGTAATAATCTTGCAACATGTCAATAATCCTGAAGGAACCTTTTACTACCAAGTCTCTTATGATCTTATTCTCCATCATCTTAAAACTTACTTGTTTCCCAAGTACGTTAACAATGAAAGCATTCTTCTAAGGTTTGCACCAATCTTCAAACTTGTCCTTACTCACATGGATCTTAGGACATTGGTCCAATTCCTTTGGATCTGTTGAATGTGATTCGTGATCAGACTTATTTTTATAGCATAATAAAATTTCTAATATAACATTAATAATTCTCCATCTTTCCATCCCCATCTTTTAGGAGTGTCTCTGTATGATGGACTCAAGAACTTGTCATCAAGTTAGGGAGAGTCATTGTTATCTTCCACCTCTGCATCCTTCACTCCCTCATGCTCTCTTGTCTTCATTTTCTTGGTATTACATAAGAGCAGGTCTTCTTCCTTAGAAGACGTATTCAAACCCTAACATAACATATAATAGTCATTTCATATAATTTCTATAAATATAATAAACATCTAGCATTGCAAGAGTAAATACTAGTTAATAATTACACTTATTATACTCATTGTCATTTAATTTAAAATATTTTGTCTTTGTGATATAAATTTATATTTATCCTCATTTATTATGCACATCTTAATTATATAGTTATCCATTTTGTTATACTTTTCATCAAACTTTCATTGGTAAAAATGCACCTTATTTTAAAGGATAAACTATACTTTATTCTATGGTCGTTTAAATTTAAAATATCTTATCTTTTTATTAAGAAATTTGACATTATTATTATTATTGCACTAATATAATGTAAAAAAAATTAATATATGGCTTTATATATATATTTTTATCAACAAATACATATTAAGTCGCACTTTAGTGCTAGAGCATGGAGGGCTATGTACCGTGGTGGTCTCCCATTGACCGACCCGAGGCACATCGACAAAATGCACCATGGAGGTCCCACAAAAACCGATCAAACTGAACCTACGCAATACCGACCCAACATGCTCTTCGCACTTTAGTGCTTGAGCATGGAGGGCTATGTACCGTGGTGGTCTCCCATTGACCGACCCGAGGCACATCGACAAAATGCCGAACCCATAATAGGGACCAATATGGGAAGATTCACTGGCTCACTCAGACAATCAATAAGATCCCACAATCCGTGAGAACGGTAATAAATACCGGGAGTTACGAGTCTACAATGGGACGTGATTTATGAGATCATAAAGAGGAGTGTGCGATTCATGTCTGTAACGCTACACCATTATATATAGCAATGATTAGGTATAAGAAGGCAGGTTACTCTCATCAAATATTCTAGGTCAAGACTGTTGTCAAGTTCTTTTAGCTTAATATCGCTAAGGGTTCTTCGGCGGCGGTCTCTAATACCGAACAATATCATATTCTACTTTTGAATGTGAAGTGCTTTATTTGAACAATACAAAGTGTTATATTTGGCAGGTACATATCTTTAAAAGTGTTGCGTAGCATGACATCTTTCTAAATTGTTGTTATAAAGATGCGAGTATTGGGCATATGGCCTTGTTTCGAGTGATCTTAATTATATAAACCTTATTCTACTACATTTAGAGGACCTTCTGGTATATATTTTTAATTTTATTTTCGGCTGCAAATGTCTATGTTCAATCCAAAATGGTGATTACTTGCTTTGGGCTCAATCTTCATCTCTCACATTACATGTGTTGCGACCAAGTAGTTTTTATATTTACACAAGAGACGTCATTTTTTTAAACTTGCTTTATATTGAAAAAATAATTCAAATTTTCAAATTCAAATTTCTGAAATATTATTTAAATTTTAAAAGATATTGATTTTTTTAGGATATTATTTATAATTGAAATATATTATATTTATTTTAGAGATTTGTTTCATCTTTTTAGATTATTATATAGAGATTCTTGAGATGAGAAGAATCACCCGACCTGTAAAGAAGGTTACTGCTTTAAATGAGAGAAGTCATATGAAGAAAAATTTCGAAATTTCGTCAAAAAATTTGTAAATGGAAGTTTTTAAATTTCGTTAAAAAACTTATGAGGAAGGAATTTTCAAGTTTCACTCATAAAAAAAATATGAAAAAAGAGTTTTTGAGTTTAACCCACAATACTTGCAAAGATAATTTTCATTAATTAATAATCGCTTACTTTTTAATTTTAAATAAGAAATGAAGTCTATGTTTTAGTATCATCAGCTCAGTCCGTGGCACGTGACAGTATGCAGTAGTAAGTAGTAAAAATATGATGCACGTGTTGCTCGCTCTTATTTTAATTTGGGTGGATTCGTGTATTGATCATAGATTTTGTAGATTCTAAGCATAAAAAAGATTCCATAGATTCAATTATCATCCGTGTAAAATTAACATTTAACAGGCGAAATTCGCCAATGTCAATTATTATTTTATTAATTTTATAATATTGTTTTAATCATATCTATATAAAAAAAGAAGAGTGAGAAACCAATATTTGGTAGAATCGTTTTATAATTATTAGGAATAGGATGCTTAAAATGGTCCCAATAACCCTATCAAGTACTCATACTTCTACCAATCAAGCTTCCTAATGACTTATTATCAGCATTGCATGTGTAGCACGAGATTTAGGGAAATAATATTTTAATTCTTTTTCTTTATTTATTTTAACTATAATTCGTACAAAATATCTATTGTTAAAAATAGTAATCAATCTCATTTAAAAATGGTAAATTTACATAATATAAATATTCTACTTTAAACATAGTCTATTTTATACTCAATATCAAAATTTGAATATTAAATAAAATTTGAATATTAAATAATTTGATTAAAAGATATAAGTCTATATCGTTAATTATTATTACATTTTAAAATCACATTTAATATTACAGTTAATATTTTAAGTATAAAAAAATTTGTCAATTTTTTTTAACTATATTTTGATTGAAATCGAAATTTGGCAAACTATGGTATTATAGTAATTTTCTAGATTCTAGTGTTAAAAAATATTTAAATTCAAATAATGCTTAATAATACCAAGTTAATGTCAGAATTATCAAACTCCATTTAAATTTTAAATATAAATGTCTAAACAATTGTGAAATAGAGATTAGTAAAAATCAAGATGTTATAAAAATAGAGTACGGAAAAAAGAGAGAAAAGAATAAGAAAAACATTTTTTTTTAAAAAATATGATTAATTTTGCATTTTAATTATTGAATGTTTCATTATAATTTTTTTTTTGTTTTGAAAAGGTAAAATTACAAAGATAGTCACAATAAAAATTGAATCTAGATTCTTATATTTCTAACTACCTCAATCTCTTTTCACTGAACTACTATGCTAACCTAGTGATTATAGTTTTGTTTTGGTTATGAATGATTCATTTTAGTCTTTAAATGATTTATTTTAGTTCCTATAAATATGATATAATACTTAATATCTCATGTTATTTTTCTAATAATATTATTAATATCTTAAATATATTGATCAAGAAATATAAGTCGTTATTATTTATGATAATTAAGGTTAAAAATTTCTTTTTTTTTTATTTCTATTACAATCATTCATATAACAATTTTCAATATGTTAAGCAATTTAATTGTTGTTTAACAATTATTCGTATAATTGATTTAACATTTCCATTGTGACAAATTCTCTTTATAAAACAGAACGAAAAACAAAATGGCTATGCAAGTTGGTAGTGCAACACTAAACTCGAAACAATTTCAAACCTACGGAATAACGTCAATCGCAAAAAGACAATATTATTAAATTAAATTTTTAACTTACTCATATTAAATTCGTGTTTGAGGTAGGAAGATTTGCTTACCCCTCCTGTTTGTTTAATTTTCAACTTTCCCAAATCAATTTTGCAATAATTAAAATTAAATTTGAGAGAAATGCATTTTTCTTTAACTCTTTTTGATAAAAAAAAATTAATTGAGTATATGACTCAAAGATTATATTTAGACTTTAACTCTTTTAAAAAATTTGCATTTAATTAATTAGTATTTCCATTTTCATTTTTTTTAAATTTTAGTCATTTTAAGCGAACGAAATATTAAATGAGACAAAATTATAGTTTGCACTTGACTTATTTCAAATTATAAAACTTTAAATTTGTTTAACTTATGCATAATTTTACTATTTCTCTTACTTTCATTAAATCTCATTTGCAAACTGAAAGCTTAAATGTATGTCATCTAAAAATATCATATACTCCCTTTTCTATTTCGAAATATGTCTTTATTTAATTCTATATATTAAGATTATATTTTTAGTAATTATTTTCATTCTTAATATCAAGTTTTAAGAAAAAGAAATTTAGAAAATTAGGTTATTTGTTTTAAATAGAATTAGTGAAATTAAATGATGTTATTGATATACTTTAAATTTTGTTCTTCTTTTTTTTATCAATTTTGGCCGATTAAATGGCCTAGGTACCTTTAGACGGTGGATCCTCTTTGGCAATTGGCATAGCAAACTGACCTTGGTTGTGTAAAAATATTATAAAAAATTGTAGTATTTCTCAAAGTGCGACGCTAGTTGTTGTTCTAGATGCGTGGTTCGCATGGAACTTATTTTATTCTAATTCGCAATCCACTCCACAAGCAAAGCCTAATAGAAAAACACACATTTCCTTTCACACCTCAGAGACCCCACTCTTCCTTTCTTCATTATCCTCTTCTTTTCTCATTTCTCACTAGCCCTCATTTCTTCAATCATACATCATGTATGAAATCTTGTTACCAACTTACACTTGCACCAATTCATGATAACTACTAGTAATAACCTTCACTTATCACACATATCATATTATATATGATTTATCTAAGTTTAACGTCACACCATTCGAACATGTCTTCTTCTTCTTCTTCTTTTGCTTCACCTTCATGGCTTACTTCCCCCTTATGTTCCTCTTTGGACATAGATTCATCTTCCCCTTCATCACAATTCCTACTTCAGTGGCTAAGGTTCATCTTCCTATCTCCATGTCCCCAACGACTTCTTCTTTCAGCCCTTGATCTCATCTTCTTGCTCTCTCTCTTAGCCTTCGCAGCTCACAAACTCTATTCTCGGTTCACTTTCAATACCAACTCCACCATCACCAAACCCCTTCTGCAAGACAAAGACTCTGACTACAAAGTCACCTTGTGGTTCAAACTACCCTTCTTGGTAACCACCCTTTTGGCCACAGCTTACACGGTTCTAGCCATCTTGGCCTTCACTCAAACCAACTTTGCTTCATGGAAACTAATAGAGGCACTGTTTCGGGTCTTTCAAGCAATAGCCAACATAGTGGTTGTGATCCTAATGGTTCACGAGAAGAAGTTCAAAGCTGCAAAGCACCCTTTATCTCTGAGAATCTATTGGATGGCGAACTTGGTGGTTTCATGCTTGTTTGCTACTTCAGCCATTGTTCGCTTGGTAACTGTTGATGGAGCGAGGTTGGAGATTAGTTTGAGAGTGGATGATGTATTCTCGTTGGTCAATCTTCCATTATCTGCGTTCCTTTTCTTGGTAGCAATGAAAGGGTCAACGGGGATTCAAGTGATTAGAATTTCTGATGTAGTGAGAGCATATCAGTGCCTTTCCAATGACAGAACTTTGAGTCCTTATGCCTATGCTTCGTTTTTGTCCAAAACAGTGTGGTTTTGGATGAACCCTTTGCTGAATAGAGGGTACAAAACACCCCTCAAGCTTGAAGATGTGCCATCTCTCCCTATTGAATTCCGAGCAGAAAAGATGTCAGAACTTTTCCAAAGCAATTGGCCAAAGCCAGAGGACAGCAGCAAGCACCCGGTTGGACTGACCTTGTTTAGATCCTTCTGGAAGCACATAGCCTTCACTGGCTTCCTTGCAGTTATAAGGCTCGCGGTTATGTACATTGGTCCAATGCTTATTCAGAGTTTCGTTGACTTCACCTCAAGGGAAAACAGCACTCCCTATGAAGGCCTTGTTCTGATACTCATCCTGTATTTGGCAAAATCAGTTGAGGTCCTCAGCGTGCACCAGTTCAATTTCCACTCTCAGAAACTAGGCATGCTCATTCGCTCCAGCATCATCACTTCTGTGTACAAAAAGGGTTTGAGACTCTCAAGTTCTTCAAGGCAAACTCATGGCACTGGCCAGATTGTGAATCACATGGCTGTTGATGCACAACAACTCTCAGATTTGATGATGCAGTTTCACCCCATATGGTTGATGCCACTGCAAGTAGCAGCAGCTTTAGGCCTTATTTATAACTATGTTGGCTTGTCCGCGCTTGCAGCACTGCTTGGAACCACTTTGGTGTTTATTTTCACTCTATTTCGCACCAAGAAGAGCAACAGCTTCCAGTTCAGGATAATGACGAGCCGTGACTTGAGGATGAAGGCAACGAATGAGTTGCTCAACAACATGCGTGTCATCAAGTTCCAAGCGTGGGAAGAGTACTTTGGCAATAAGATTCAACAGTTTCGCGAAGCCGAACATGGTTGGATTGGAAAGTTCTTGTACTACTTTGCTGTTAACATGGGGGTTCTGACCACTGCTCCTTTGTTGGTAACTGTTCTCACATTTGGAACTGCTACCTTGTTGGGTGTTCCTTTGAATGCTGGCACTGTGTTCACTATTACTTCTGTGATCAAGATATTGCAAGAGCCGGTGAGAACTTTTCCTCAGGCTCTTATCTTGATTTCCCAAGCGATGATTTCGCTTGGGAGGTTGGATGAGTTCTTGATGAGTAAGGAAATGGATGAGGGTGCAGTGCAAAGAGTGAGTGGCTGTGATGGTCACTATGCTGTGGAGATAAAAGATGGGAAATTCTCGTGGGATGATGCAGATGGGAGTGTGGCACTGAGAGTTGAAGAGTTGGAAATCAAGAAAGGGGACCATGCTGCTGTTGTGGGAACAGTTGGGTCAGGCAAGTCTTCGTTGTTGGCTTCTGTGTTGGGGGAAATGTACAAGATATCAGGAAAGGTATGTGATTACTCTGGATGAATCTATGTTGTTTTGTGCACTGCATTGCTGCAGTTTAATCGCATCTTGTTGCTTAGAAGATTAGTGTAGTTGTTGATGCATTCCTTTCCTGTTCACAAATTCTGTGTCTTTCTCTTCGTAATATTTAGGAATATTCATAATGCGCATGCCTGCAGAGAAAGAGACATGCAAAATGTTAGGAATCTTGATAATGCCCCACATATTTAATACTACCTACAAAGAAAGAGACAGTCACAAATGTTCACGTGACAGTGTTATGTATAAATTCAATATATACAAGGAGATCCACTCCCTCAAATTGAAGAACACGAACATTGATTTTTTCAGGATTCGTATTACAAGTTGTTCTTCATCATAAACATAACTTTGGATACTAACCTTGATCAATGCTTTAATGCCTAATCTTGGCCCCTTTCCTTCTATTACAAATTTACAATGTCTTTCTTGATGGTAGTTGTGAATGAAAATGTTCATGGCAGAAACTCTTAAGAAAGTAGATTTAGACCTAACATATACGGGTTGTCCGATAAGGGATAGCACAATAAATCCAACAATACTAAATTAATTTAGACCTAACTCAATCTTATAAAACTAGTTTAGAGAAACAACCAGCAATCCAATACTAGCAGAAACTGGATTTCCGTCAAAGTTGACATTTTTATAACGCTTTGGCAGTTGGGAAAACCAATAATAACCAATAGAACCCTATGGTTTATTAAAATATTATGAATCTATGATATTTCACTCATTTATGACCATAATTTGGTTTTAGTTATTCATCAGAACTAGCAGACACTTTATTGGTTGTTAATGCATATCTGGATTTCTCTTTTAAATGGTGAAATTGGATGCAGAGGCTCTTCAATAGCACAATTGCAAAAATTTGCCATTGTACTTTTTAAATGTCCTTAAAGGGTGTTAACTTGATCTGTGAATGTTTCTACTATGTGAAAAATTACTTGTATTGTTCACAGTTTTCATCATTACTTTCTCTTTTTACTTATCTTAAATATTATAGGTAAGCGTTTGTGGGTCAATAGCCTATGTAGCACAGACATCATGGATTCAGAATGCAACCATCCAAGAAAACATATTGTTTGGTTTGCCTATGAACAGAGAGAAGTACAAGGAAGCTTTAAGAGTGTGCTGCCTGGAAAAGGATCTTGAAATGATGGAATATGGAGACCAGACTGAGATTGGAGAACGGGGCATTAACCTCAGTGGTGGCCAGAAGCAACGTGTACAACTTGCTAGAGCTGTATACCAAGACTCTGACATCTATCTCCTTGACGATGTATTCAGTGCTGTTGATGCACAAACTGGATCATCTATTTTTAAGGTAAGTGCAGCACCACAAACATTGCTCACTAGCTCCAGTTTCTTAAGCATTTTATAGTTTTTAGTTTTACTGATACAATGTTTGTTAGACCAGAAGAAAATTTAAACATTATCTATGCATACCAAATACACATAGACCATGAAATATTTTGCCATAACCATTGGATCAATCAACAGGATTTTTGGCTTTCATTATAAATGAATTGCTTGTTCTAATACAATTAAAAAACCGGGGTTTCTAATTTCTCCACCTTGTTGCAGGAATGTATTATGGGAGCTCTAAAAAATAAGACCATTTTACTTGTAACCCACCAAGTTGACTTCTTGCATAACGTTGACTCTATAATGGTACGTTTATACTCATGTACTCCGTCTTATGTTCAGTCCTTATTTTCATCGTTAATGAAATCTATCTTACCGATTAAAAATACTCGTATATACTTCATCATGTTTTCACCAAAAAAAAAAAAAAAAAAAATTGCATAATGCATTCTTGACTCCCATCTAATACCCTGTTATTATAAGATTTATTTTCTTAGATTAAGCTTAATTTACATTTCAGAGGTCCTTATTACTTATTCCACAACAAATAACCTCAAATAGTCTAGTTCTTTCAACTGAGCACTTTTGCTTTGTTTTTGATACCAACATGAAGGTGATGAAAGAGGGGGAAATCGTGCAAAGTGGGAAGTATGATGAACTTCTCAAAGCAGGCCTGGATTTCGGTGCACTTGTGGCTGCTCATGAATCCTCTATGGAGATTGCAGAGTCTAGAGACAAAGGTGATGATGATACTGCCCAGTCTCCAAAACTTGCTCGCATCCCTTCAAAAGAAAAGGAAAAGTCAACTGAAAAGCAACCTCAAGATCAATCTAAGTCAGACAAGGATAAAGCAAAGCTCATTGAAGATGAGGAAAAAGAAACAGGCAGTGTGAACCTTAAAGTGTATAAGCATTACTTCACTGAAGCATTTGGGTGGTGGGGTGTTGCACTGATGCTAGCAATGTCTTTAGCATGGATTTTATCCTTCTTGGCTGGTGACTACTGGCTAGCAATTGGAACTGCAGAAGATTCTGTGTTTCCTCATTCTACATTCATTATTGTCTATGCTATCATAGCAGCTGTTGTTTGTGTTGTGGTGATGATCAGATCACTCTTATTTACCTATTGGGGTCTAAAGACATCTCAAAGCTTCTTCACTGGAATGCTTCAAAGCATCCTGCATGCACCTATGTCATTCTTTGACACCACTCCTTCTGGCAGAATATTGAGTCGTGTGAGTTTTACTATTAACGCCCCTTTTCATGTTAATTTCTTCATGCAAACAAAAACTAGCATATTCTTTGAATAAGTGTTTGAATTTAACAGTATTTTCTCCTCTTATTATGAACTGTTTAGGTATCTACTGATATACTTTGGGTTGATATATCAATTCCAATGTTAACAAACTTTGTAATGGTAGCGTACTTCTCATTAGTCAGCATCTTCTTTGTGACGTGCCAAAATGCTTGGGAGACGATCTTCCTCTTAATTCCACTGTTCTGGCTCAACAACTGGTATCGGGTATGATATGTCTACTCTTATTGATTTTTGTTGAATTTTTTCGGGTGTTTTTGTTCCTAGTAATCTTAGATGTTCAAGATAATGAATTTGACATTTAGTCTTCCATTTTATGAAGTTGTAATCCAGCCTTCTTGTATTTTTTTTGTGCATGGTTAGTGAATTGTTAGATAGCCCTAGATCACATAGTCTCTACGTGTAAAACAAAATATCCAGCATTTTGACACTTGTTCTGGTTTGCAGAAATATTACCTTGCATCATCTCGGGAATTGACTCGCCTTGATTCTATCACCAAAGCTCCTGTGATTCATCACTTTTCAGAAACCATTGCTGGTGTTATGACCATCCGTGGCTTCAGAAAGCAGAACTTATTTTCTCAAGAAAATATTGATAGAGTCAATGCTAGTCTGAGAATGGATTTCCACAACAATGGTGCTAATGAATGGCTTGGCTTTCGCTTGGACTACCTGGGAGTGGTTTTCCTTTGCATTTCCACTATTTTCATGATCTTTTTGCCTAGTGCTATTATTAAGCCAGGTATACCCCACTGCAATTCCAACATGTGATATATGGTTAATCCTCTATTTCAGATGAACTAAACAGTAGCATTTGTATTGTAGTACAGAATTATTTATTTATGAGATCACATGCATTGCATACATTATATTTAGATAAATATTAGTGACCACTGACCAAGGATTATTCCACTTGTTGCAGAATATGTTGGTTTATCTTTGTCCTATGGCCTGGCTCTCAGTAGTCTCTTGTCATTAACCATAACCATGACTTGCTCTGTTGAGAACAAAATGGTTTCAGTTGAGAGAATAAAGCAGTTCACCAACCTTCCCTCAGAAGCTCCATGGAAAATTGCTGATAGGTCTCCTCCTCAGAATTGGCCTAGTCAAGGCAATATTGAGTTAAACAATTTGCAGGTACATGGTAGTCATAATGATGTTGACTTTGATCATTTGAATCCAGAAGAAAACATTTGAATTGAAGGGAACTTTGATCATTTTTATGAGGTTGTGTAACTTGAGTAAAAATGACGTTAAACAACCCTATACCAACCATCTTGAAGTACATAATTAATTGCACCAATTATCTTTTGTGGGGTTGTTGATATCCATTTTACTTGGGATAAGTTATACAACTTACAACCCCTTTTCTTATGCAAAAAAGTGTAGGCATATAATGCAATTCTATGGTGGAAAATTGTTTTTTTAAGTCATGGTACTGATGATGAAATTCTCATATAGGTAACATACATTCAATAACTACTACATATTTAATCTTTGTTGTTAAATGGTGATCAGGTTCGGTATCGTCCAAATACTCCTCTAGTTCTCAAGGGAGTCTCTCTCAGCATTCAAGGAGGAGAAAAGATTGGTGTTGTTGGTCGTACAGGTAGTGGGAAATCAACCCTCATTCAGGTGCTATTTAGGTTGATTGAGCCTTCAGCTGGGAAAATAATCGTTGATGGGATCAACATTTGCACTGTGGGCCTTCATGATCTGAGGTCTCGATTTGGAATCATTCCTCAAGAGCCTGTCCTCTTTCAAGGAACAGTACGAAGCAACATTGACCCCCTTGGACTGTATTCAGAAGAAGAAATTTGGAAGGTATCCAGTTCAAAGAAGCAACATGCATGTTTGCTTGTTTGAACCATAATCCTGTGATTTGTTGAAAAGACAAAACTTAGATACAGTATCTAAGTGTTATTAGTGTTGATTTCATATCAGAATTGGAATTTCACCTCAATGATCTGTGTAATAAAAGTTTGCATTAAAATATTATGTAGATTGTTGAGGTGAAAGTCCAATTCTAACTGAAAAAACTAAACAAACAACACTTAAAGAATTATATATAAGTTTTATCCTAATAGAAAAGTCATGTCACATGCATGAAAGCATGAATGCACTTCAATTAGTAATTTGAGCTTCTAAAAAAAACCAATAATTTGCTGTTTAATGCAGAGCCTTGAGCGCTGCCAACTGAAAGATGTGGTGGCTGCAAAGCCTGAGAAACTTGAGGCTTCAGGTATCAACTCCTCACATAAATCTCCCTTTAATAGTTTAGTCCAATGTGGTTAGAAAACATAGCTTAAGATGTTGATATTGCTGTATGATGTTTTACTTGGTGAAAGTATGAGCTGACATAGTTTACATTACTATTTATTTCTTAGTGGTTGATGGTGGAGACAACTGGAGTGTGGGGCAAAGGCAGCTTCTTTGCTTGGGAAGGATCATGCTAAAACGTAGCAAAATACTATTCATGGATGAGGCAACAGCATCCGTTGATTCACAAACTGATGTTGTGATACAAAAGATCATCCGTGAGGACTTTGCAGATCGTACAATTATCAGCATTGCTCACAGAATACCAACGGTCATGGATTGTGACAGGGTTTTAGTCATTGATGCAGGTAATCATGTTATTTATGATTATGATCTCTTGTGCACATTCAACGGGCAATAGTGATGTGATCAAAATAGAATATATAAATAAAAAACAAATTTCATATTATGAATTAATCTTATTTATTGTTGTCCTCTTTAGTGTTTAAGATATAATATTAGTCAAAATAGAATATATGAATAGGTGTAACTTTTTGTATCCATTGAAATTGTGCAAGACTCAAACCAAATATTAAGAATCAAGAACTTGAGCAGTAACATCAAATGTCATAATGTGCAGCTTTTACCATTACAAATATTTTTACTATTTCAATACAATTTTTCTGCGATTAAGAAAGTGCTAAAGAAATGAGTTGTGGGGTGTTTGATATTTTGACAGGCCTTGCAAAGGAATTTGATAGGCCATCACGTTTGCTAGAAAGGCATTCACTTTTTGGGGCATTGGTTAAGGAGTACTCCAATAGATCAGCTTAAATGGATTCTAACAAGGACACAGTTGATGTACTTAATTTCCAACATGCGGCACCAAAGTCAGAAGACACTGGTCTACTATGCATGGAAGATCAATATTTTTTAGCATTTTGATGTTTCACCTATCACCCTTTCAGTAGTTCAATATTAATTAGACTAGGATATTATGTAAGAAAATTTTGAAGTTTTGGGTTTTAAAAAATCCAGTTTGGCTGCAATTATTAGTTGATTTTTTTTTTTTGTTTCTGTCAGATGTCTGTTTTTCCTTGCTCTTTATTGTTATTGTTATTATTATTATTATTATTATTATTATTATTATTTATTTTTAAATCCTTCCTCTATTACTAATTTGTCATTGGTAAACTATTCTTGGATTTTGAAGAAAAAAATATTTTATTTATATACAAGATAATGATATATAACTAATTTAAATAACTAATTTTTTTGGTATATATTTAAATAATTAATTAATTGAATATAGTGCAGAAAATAGTAATTCTTTTTTTAAAAAAATTGAGAATGTATAAAAAGTTGATATAAAAGTTAAGTTTTAAGTAAAAGAATTGTAAAAATAAATCAAGATAAAAGTTATAATAAAATAACATAAATAGCTACTATTTTAATTTTTTTTTATAAATATTAAAAAGGTTTAATATATCATTTGATTCTCAGACTTTAGAGATTTTTAATTAGGTTCTAAACTAAAAAAAATTGTAATTAGATCTTTCATTTTTTTATTTATATTTTTTTGTAATTTAGTCGCTAGAATAAGTGGTCCATTTATAATCCATAAAATTTGACAAAATATTCTTTACATCTTTATATATGGAGTCTCAATTTTAGAGTTTGGAAACAAATTGATGAATTATTTTCACAAGCAAAGTTAAGTGATTATAAATTAAGAGTTTGGGATATTCATGATTAGAAAGATTACAAGAATTTTAATGAATAAAGATTGAAACCTAATAATTTAATTATGTATATTCATGAATTGTAGTGAGCAAACTTTTAAATAAGAGAACTAAATTATAATATATATATATATATATATATATATATAATTAAGAAATCTCAAAAAATTAGTCACACTAACTTATGTGTTAAACTTATATTAAGTACTAAATAATAGAGAATGTGCATGTGATTAGAATGAAGAAAATACATAGAATAGTAATAATAACTTTCTCGAATTGGTTACCAATTGGTCAAACAAGTCAAGTTTAACCCCATATTTCATAACATCAATTGTGATAAAATGAAAGTTACTTTCACTATAGTAGCTTGGCAACATAGCTTTTGGATTACAAATTTTTAATAGGACACCCTTCTTTCGTAGCATGGCTCCCCTTGGTAGACAAAATTGTCACGTCCTTTATTCGATAATATTTAGGCTTTTACCCTTTAGTCATAAAAAAAAGTGAGTAATTCACTTAAGATGGCAAAGTAAGTATCTTAGTTATTGATGAAAAAAATTAACGATCAATATTACGTACACATACATGACAGATCATTGATGTGTTGGGACTATTAATAGTGGATTTCTAGTCAACATATTATTTATTTTATCCTAATGTACTTTAAATGGACAAATCCATGTAGCATAATATATGTAACTTTTGTGTTCGCACTCTCAATTTTATCTGCAACTTTTTTTAAACCTTTTTTTCAAGACCGTTTGAAATGATGAAATTAGTTTAATATAATAGAAGAAGTGGAATGTTATTAAATCTTATTATTTGAATTATTTATAGTAAGATGTGTTGAATTGAATGTGTTGGAATATAATTAAAATCTCACATTGATAAAAAAATATATAAATTTATTAAAACACATGTCATTGATAATAGATTTTTAAGGAGCATGAGAATTTAAGTTTAAAATGGACGGTATCGTATTAATACGAAGACATATGTATATGAAATTGTGAATATTTAGTATATCACAGAGTGCTTACCACTACTTGATAGTTTAAGTACAATCATTTCCATTTAATTATTACGGTTCAAGCATCACATATTGATTGTGACTTGACTCACTTAAGCCTCTGACATGATGAAATTTTATTACCAACATAGGTTAGAAGGATTGATAAAGACTCTTGTTCCTTAAGTAAGAGGCCAATAGTTTGATATATATATATATATATATATATGTATTTTTTTTTCGTAGAGGAATGATACACATTTTTATGAATGGAGCAAACCTAGTTTGAATGTCTCTACTCATTGTCTTTCATACACCAAATATGTTTGGTGAAAGGTAATCATTACAAAAGCAAAAAAAGAAAAAAAACACACAATAACTAAAATGAGTTGAAGAATATTTCTTTCTGTATATTTTAATTAAAGTATTAATTATCAAATTCATGGATCAACTAATATGAAATTGTTCCATTTTAACCAACAACTTTTAGTTTGAGTCTAAAGTATGCAATTGTTTTAAATTTTCGGAAGGTAAATTTTGTTGCTCTTAGTGATTCTACTTAACCTAAGTAAAATTGTCTTTGGTAAATTAATGATACAAGTTAACTATGTAAAAAATTATTTATACATGCATTAATATGAAATTAATTTATTAATATGGTATAACATGTTTGGTAGATAATCAACATGATCAAAAATTTGATCTTCGTACACGTACATATAGATGAACATCTATTGAAAAATGTCAATCTCTTAAAAAGATGTTAATATATCAAGAATTAGTCTTTAACTCTTAGTTGAGGAATATTTTGGTTTTGTCCAACACTTCAATAAAAAATATATAAAATTAATTATTTTATAAATATTTATGATATGAATACTATTTTTGCATGCTAGTTTTTGCTTCTACATCTCTTTTTCACTTTTTTTAAAAAAATTTATTCTCATTGCTTTTATTTTATTTTATTTTATTTCAAAGGATTCTTCTTTTCATATTTTAATCTTCTTTATAGACGCTGAATAAAAATCATAACAAACATGCTCATGATTACTTGAGATTTATCTGATGCTCTAACAATTACAAATGTTGTCACAAGGTATTTTACTCCTTTTATCTTCAAACTTGTGTGTGGCATATATCAATTTTTTGTACTTTGGAAAAGAGAAAAAAAAATAAGAAAAAAAAGGCAATCTAATAATTCTTGATAAAGAGGATGATTGTTGACCATAGTTAAAAGATATCATATGAGAATTTAGTTTTTTTTTTTTAATTTTAAAATTTTAACACTTTTGAATTTTATTTTTCAAAATGTATTTAATATGAAATTTAAATAATAGAACATCTATTGATTACTGAAAATAAATTTTGGACTTTAATGTCCAGAAATTGGTATTCGAAAAAATTACAAAAAATGAAAAAGAGTGTAAAAGTAAAGGAAAAAAAAGTTTAATTAGCTAGTGATCCCTATTGTTTTTTGAATTTGGTTACTCTAAAACAAGAAATCTTAATTAATAAGTAAATAAATTGTCAATATTTCAACACACTAAGACTGTTAGTAACATAATTTTCTGACTAGTTAAATTTTATTTAAAACTAGAAAATAATGAAAAACTTTAAATAAGATGCAAGACTACTAAACTTTTTGATTTATAACAAACTTCAACATATTTAAAAGAAGTAGACAAATAATATATTTCTATGGACATACTTATGAATTATTATGCATGTATATTTAAAGTATCTTCATTTGGATTTGGATTGGATTCTTCGTATGTATCTCCTAGTAGAAGTCTATGTTTCATTTGTTTTCAGAAAATATTATATCTATGAAGCACTCAAACCCTTTGAAGTTGGAAGATTCAATATCTATCCAAATTTCCTTGGTTTCAAAAACTAAAAATAAGCACTCCTTCTGTTTTTTTTCATAATCGTTTTGTTATTGTTTTATTATTATTTATTATTTATTTTTCTAAAATTAATAATTTATTAATTTTTTATTTTTATTTTTTTCTTAATAATTAATATATATTTATTTAACAACGTGTTTATTTATTTTTTAATACACCTATTTATTTTTTAATCACCTAAAAAATATAATAGAAAAATAAATAATAAATATATAAAAAAATTAAAATATCAATTATTTTCTTAATTTTTTACATAATCTTAAACGATAATAATAAAAAAAAGAAATATATAAAATGTTTTTTTTTTTTGAAGTTAGTGAAGAGAACACAAGACAAGAAGACACCACCACACTCACACCACCATTTTCCGTGCATTCATCAAACCAAACCCACGCGTTTCTCGTGGGGTTTTAGTTACGTTCTTCCCACTCATCACAGAACAAACCCTAATTCCCCAAATTCACTCCCTGGACATGCTTCACTCCAATTCCACCAATCAATGGGTGCCATGGCCATCAACCGCAAGCGCCCCCAAGACTGCATGAACGTAAGCCGCGTCATTTCCGATTCCCCCGCTAAGCGCTCCAAATTCTCGACCCGACCCGTTCCCTTCTTCGCCGCCGCCGCCAGACTCTCCCGGTACCCGGAGGCGAAGACGCCGCTGGCGAGGGAGGTTCACGCGCCGTGCAGGTCCCGAAGATTGGAGCTTGCGAGGTCCTTCGCTAAGGTTAGTGTTAACGACGGCATGGGGAACGTTCTGGCGGCGAAGTACGAGAAGGCGAAACGTTCGGCATTGTCGAAATGCAGGTTCGTGGTGGAGAAGGAGAATGAGAAGGAGAAGGGGGTGATCGACGTGGATGCGACGGAGAGTGGAGAGCCTCGGTTAAGGAGTCGCGAGGATTGGAGTGTGGAAGAGGCGCGTGGTGATGGTGACGGCAAGGTTGGGGTTCGGGAACAGTCGACGGCGTCGTTTGACTCGGAGTTGACGAATGAGGAGGTGAAGGTGGTGAGTGGAGGGAAGGTGTGGGGTTCCGAGACGCATGATCTTTCGAGTGTTCATGTGTATAGGAAGTTGCTTGAGAGTGTTGGGAGGAGAAGTGATACTATTAACAGGTTGGATTTTGAGATTGAGCTGAATGAGAAGCGCGGGGAGACTCTTAATTTGTTGCGGCAGAAGAAGGAATTCGTTGAGGTGATCTTGATGGCTTGTTTAGCTTTTCGCAATCACCCATTTTTTTGTGTTTGGTTGCTTAGGTGTTATTTTTGTTGCTTGGTAGTGGTTTGTTCTTTTATGGGGCTTGTTTTGTTTATGGAATTGGTTGGTTTTTATTGTGAGGATGTCATCTTTGTTTATAGATGTCCAAGTTTTTTGTTGTTTCCTCCACTTAGTTTGAAATTTTGGAAATAGGAAGTGAAGTGAGATGACGTGGTGTTGTTGTAGTTATTAATGGAAACAGAGAATAGAAACATGAGACGTTAGTTATGTTTATAGCAGTGGGTTGGTTGAGGACTGAGAAACAGGGTAAATGTTAGTGCAATTTACCCAGTGTTGCTATGGTTTTCAGGAACAGGAAGTGCCGCTAGAGCCTTTTGTCCCTCTTACAAGGGAGGAGGAAGATGAGGTTGAGCGTGCCTTTTCTGCCAACCGGTATGATTTGATGATTTGGCTGTGTTAGGAGGGAGAGTTTAATCTGTATTGTAGCTCATTTTGTGCTTGCTTCTGCAGGTGGACGATCTTGGTTAGCCATGAGAATTCTAACATTGAGATCACGGGAGAGAAGTTTCAGTGCCTTAGGCCGACTGGATGGTTAAACGATGACGTAAACTTGTTTGCTTATTGTTTGTTTTTCCCTTTTTGAGTTGCTGAATAGAGGAATTTTGTACCTGACTGTATCATGATTTGATGGTTTTGCACCATGAAATTCAGTGATGGATCATGTACTATTATTGTGCAGGTGGTAAATTTGTACATGGCATTGCTGAAAGAGAGGGAGCAAAGAGAACCACAGAAATTTCTGAAATGTCATTTTTTCAATACCTTTTTCTACAAAAAGGTAGAATACCTCTTCACATAGTTATTTAGTGTTGACTCTGAAAAACCATTCCATCCTCAAATGATTACCATTGTTAAGGAGAGGGGTCTGTATTCCTTCTCTTGAAGCATTGGTTTCATTTGACCAAGAAATTATTATTATAATATCATTTGAATCATGTTTCAAACAGGAAATTATTGTGTTTGTATACTGTTAGTTGATTGATGCTCCAAAACCTATATATTGTGTTTGCATTGTTATACAAGCTATACTCTATGATAGTGTTAGTGGATGTTGGGTTTTAAAGGAACAAGAGAAAAAAGAAGGAATAGCACAAATGAGTATGTTAAGATGGATGTGTGGCCACATAAGAAAAGACATGATAGAAAATGATGGTATATGGTAAGATATTGGTGTAACACTTACTAAGGTGATTTGGACACGAGCAAAGAATGGCACACTAGAGACAGTGGGGAGAGTATATTGCATGAATTTTAGTTCTATGAAAAGGGGTAGAAGGAGACCAAGTACAATGGAGAAAATTAAAATTATCAAAAGGGATCTCATGGCAAATAATATCCCTAAAAATTTAGTTTTAAACCAAACTCAATGACATCATGTTAATTGCTAGAGGTCTGTTTTGATACTCTGAACCTAAATTTGAGCCTTGGGGGAAATTTCCCATTCAATAACACTGCAGTAAGCTTAGCATTAATAAAATTATTGAATTTTCCAACATCATGCGAGAACTTTTGAAACCAAAAAGCAATTATTATCCCAAATAATCACTTCCCAAACGTGCACCGATCCATAATGTGTAAGTCGCGAAAATTTAAACTACCATTTTCAGACCATTTTATACCAACATGGTGATTTAATTTCCGTTTAGAGTTTTACAACCTCCATGTATATCATGCTAATGATATTTCACTTTAATATAATAATGGTTTTTATGCCATATGCATATAGAAATTGAAGCTTATATAAGGGGTGCTTCAGTCTAGTGCTCACAACTTATCCAAAAATTTCCTTTTATCCTAGTGCTTCTGATTGACAAATTCTTTATGTTTGGCACTCATTAATATTATAAATGAGACACCTCATCCAGGTTACAAATGGGAAAAATTGAATGTCTTACATGTGGTATGCACTTTATTATATTTGTAATTTAGTCATATTGGTCAGGAGCTTATGCTTTTTATTTTGAATGTTATTGCAGTTAATAAGTGGTATAGAGGGTTATGATTACAAATCTGTAAGAAGATGGACAAGCCAACGGAAATTGGGATACAGTCTACTTGAATGTGATAAAGTAATTATGTTGGAACTAATTTTTCATTTTTCTTTTAGCTAAATCAATTGGTTTTCGTACTGATTTTCCCCCTGATTTATTGTTATTACCAGATATTTGTACCTATTCATCAAAACATACATTGGTGCTTGGCAGTTATCAATAAGAGAGATAAGACATTCCAGTATCTTGACTCAATGAAAGGAGAGGATATATCTGTGCTAGATAAGCTGGTAAATTTTTTTGTTCATGTAATTTAACTGTAAATTCCATATTCCCAGATCTATAATGCTAATTAGTGGAAGTATTAATTTAATTTGTAGTTTTTTGTGCTTATTTTATTTTTCTCCCTTAACTGTATCTTTTGCAATGTGGGCTATTTTGGGCCACAGTGATTTGATTGAATCCCCCCCTCCCCCCACACGTGTTTTATCCTACATATTGTATATCAGTAGTGTGTGTGATTATGTTTTCAATAAAGGTTCAAGGAGGAAGACATGTTTAAATTACATGAAATTTGATATTCAAGTCCTACTTCAACTTGGACCCTGCCTTCCAGCTTTCTTTTCAATTGCTGGAAATCTTGTGCTGTTGTATTTTATTACATATAGCCAACAAATCACTTAAGATTAAGTTAACGAAAATGGTTTATATTTCATTAATTACTTACTCATAGGTTAAATTTCTACGGAATTTCAAAACAAGCCAAACATAACTATGCATAATGATGGTATGTTTCGCAGGTTTAAACTCACATTTGTCTATTTCATATTCAGCTATTGACAACTTGTGTAGATCGGTGATCAAACATGCATCTGTAATCCCTTTTTCCGGTAATTGACAATAAAATCAAGTGAATTATTAGACAAAAAGTCAATTGTAGTAGAGGGAGGTTTTGCATGAAATCAACATAAAGAGAAATCAAAGTTCATTTAATGGATAAATTGGGAAATAAATGTAAGATAAGAGAAGTACTTAATTAACAATTAAGCTGTGATTATTGCTTAAACTTCTATATTTTGGGTTTGTCTTATGAATTTAAATATTTAGATAATTAATTTATAATTTTATGCATTGTAGAAATAAATCTGTTTCTTAAGCATGCTGCATATATGTTCCTGCCAATTTTGAATTACAATTATCTCGATGTCAAGCTACTTATATAAGTAACAAATTTAATTATGTCACATGAAAATTGTCCGTAGCTTTACCAGAAATCCAGCATTGTCAATTGATCTTGTTGGTTCAACACATCAAATAAATATAACTTGCTTTGGTCAAGTGCAGGCCTTTGTCTAGCCTTTGGTGCCTAAGCGTGCCTTACACTTCTTAAAACATCAGAGGTAGTCATTGTTGCAAGTGTTGTCACTTCTTAGTTTAAGTTGTAGGGACAAAGTTTTGAAGCCTTGAAATTTAATATATACGTCATTATTTTGCTTCATGAAGGACCTGGGTATTAACACTAACACATTTATTTTAGGAGTTTACTTTTTAAGAAGTGAGGAAAGATATGCATGTATTTACATTTGACTGTTGGTTTATTTAATGTTTGTCATTGATGTATCTCAGGCTCAATATTTTGTGGATGAAGTAAATGACAAGACTGGAAAAGATATTGATGTAACTACCTGGGAAAAAGAATGTGTGAAAGACCTTCCTATGCAAAAAAATGGGTTTGTATTCTGATCTGTAAATTACTTCATGAGATGATTATTTAGTTTAGTGATATTTGCCCCAACTTTTTGAAATAGAAGATATATGAAATGAATAATGAGTTATAGATTTTTAAAATTTTGAAAATAAGAAAACCCACAAGTATGTCTCCTTTTAGATGAAGGCTAGGGCGGGTCATCTTGATAGGTGGTTTATGGTGGGCCATTACTTTTAGCCGCTAAATTAGTCTCATCCTCATAAGTCACCCTACATCCTCTCTACACTAGATTATACCTCCCCCAACTCTTCCCAGCAACCATGTGGCCAACCACCGTCTGTCACTGCTGGAGGTGATGGTGGTGCGCCCTCCACATCAATGAACGAATGGGATGCCTGGCGGCATTTGTCAATTGTGCTGTGGTCATAGGAGAGCTCAATTTGGCTGTAAGTGGCACTCATGTTGAAGAGCACAGATTTCTTCTCAAGGTGGATGTTCTGCTGCAAGGTCTTCTGTTGGGCTTGATGACTTCAAACCAGACGAAGATGAGGGTGTTGATGTGGTTAGGGTCAGGGGAGATGGGGAGAGGGATTTGAAGTAGGTCTTAGTCGCGCAATCTGCTAATCTTATATGATGAACTATTTCCCGTACAATTTCAAATCTGAACAACTTTTATTGTAGAAATAACGAATATATATAAAAATAGAAATGATTGGAGTAATAAAAGAGAGAAAAGTTGCTTTTTTCCAATTTTGAGTTTCGGAGGAATAAAAATGAAATATTTTGACATCAATAATTTTCCAATACTCGCTCTATTTTTTTTCCTTATTTTTTTTCCTCTGCCTTTGCATGCCCCAAGTTTTCAGGATTTGTTGCAACTCTGAATAGTTCAAGCTAGCAGCAGTTTTTGATGAAGTGTTTTCTAAACAAAAATTTGTGTATCTGAACAGTTATGATTGTGGGATGTTTATGATCAAATATGCTGACTTTTACAGCAGGGGCCTGGAGCTATGTTTTAGCCAGGTAGGACATAGAGCGTTTCATTTATATTTATAGCAGGAAAAATGTATTTATTTTGTTAGAAATATTTATTGTTTCATAATTGAATTACTCTTTTGATTTGTAGGAAAATATGTCTTACTTCCGGGTTAGGACAGCTAAGGAGATCTTGAGATTGAAAGCTGAATGAGAAAAGGAATGAGTGTGCTGCATCTCAATTCATTGTCGAAAGCTCAATTATTGTCTAAATGGCAGCGCTTGACGAAGGACCCTTCTTCACATTTGGCAATGTCTTTATAACCATTGTAGAGTTGGAGCATTCTAGGCTTCGAATTGGATATTGAATTGACTATACGTATAGTCGTGGTTTTTGGATCCATCTGGTAGGTTGTATATTGCTATACAAGAGTTAATTAGTAGATGAGGCATAGTTTTATGGTTAATATTTAAATAATATTATTAAATACTTAAAATCATCCATAAAATATAATCATTTCAAAGTGTATTAGCAATGTATTTTTTATCGCCTTTATTGGTTAAAATTTATTAAAAATTGTATAATCATGATATTCATTGAAGAGGATGTGGAATTTATCATGTTTTGTGATTCCTAATTTATTTTAAAAAAATTAGAGGAAGTTAAAATAATTGCTTCTGACATTTTCTCATATACTTGGCATAACACAAGCATTTTCGATTTCAAATCTTTTGAATAAAAACGTGATTAGAGAGACTAAAAAAATTAATCTGCGGGACAAAATCAGTGCATTCTTCCAACTTATAACACGACAAAAAATGTGTTAATTTGAATCGTAGTATGATTTAATATAAATCTGAATTCAAGGATAATAACATTTATGGTGACAATGATTTAAATGTCAAAATTTGTAAAATAAAGTTAATCTTTCCCATGAATAAAAAGTAAGTTAATTGGAAAAGTGAATATAAAAATCGTAAGATAATTGAAAAACTGAGAATAGGAGTCCCGTTATTTAAAAATATTGTAAGATATTGGTATTGCAAGTTAATGTAAAAAGTTATTCATTTATTTTTTAATCTTTGATGAACTATATATATATTGAGAATGAACACAATATATTATTTTTGTATCCGCATAAAATTCTATTTCATATTTTACTTTGCCCTCCAACTAAAAATTTGGGCAGACAACTTTCTTATTTTTATTATTTTTTTTTTATAACAAGGACGCAGATAAGCTACATAGATTACACGAAATTTGCAAAGGCATGCGGTGGCCCAAAAGTCACACAAGGCCATATGCATGCAAGTAAATTCAATTATAATATATTCAACAAAAGATTTGTTTTAAATCAAACAAAACCTTTCAACGTTGAGTCCGTTACTGACGGGGAACTCTTTTTCTACTAAGAATCTCCTGCTCTTTTAGTCGATGTTGGAATCTTGCTAGACGAGCTTGAAGACCCACCAGACTTGCTGCTTTGCGAGAAAGCACAAAACTCAGTTGGGTTACGTAGTTGTCAATAAGGCTTCCCGGTTGGTCCACTTCTGCTAACAGTTTCATTTCCTGAAAAAACACACCAATGCCAATACAATATGAAATTTGATTATTTGCTAATTTCCTTTTTACTAGTTTCTGCTATGGCACCCAATAATATGAATAACAAACCGCAGCCCAAGGGGTGAATTGATAAAAGTAATTAGAAATCGAAAAACAAGTAATAACTCACTTCACGAACAATCTCCATCGTATCCTCGATTTCTTTCCTATGAGCAGCAATTAGTGCTTCTTCCTCCTGCATAAATATAATAAAGAAATTGAACAGATAGCATAAACAAGTTTATACAACGATGACAAAAGCCTTATCCCAGGAAATGAGTCTGGCTAACATGGATTGTACAATGCCAGCATAAACAAGTTTACATTCAACTGAAAACTGGTAGAGAATAAGTAATTCCATATATTTGACAAACCTCAAGTACTGCACTGATATTCCTATCAGGATTGAATTCTGCTTCATAAAGCCTAGATCCAGAGGTAATATTGTTATAATTCCCTGTGCTCTGCTGCTTGGAGCTTGTAGTGAAGAGATCAGAGCCATTGGTGTCCCTTTTCATCCAGTTTGCAGGCCTTTCCGACTTTTCATCTTTCGACACAGAGCTATAATTCCCTGTGCTCTGCTGCTTGGAGCTTGTAGTGACGAGATCAGAACCACTGGCATCCCTCTTCATCCAGTTTGCAGGCCTTTCAGACTTTTCATCCTTAGACGCAGTGCTATAATTCCCCGTGCTTTGCTGCTTGGAGCTTGTAGTGAAGAGATCAGAACCACTAGAATCCCGCTTCATCCAGTTTGCAGGCCTTTCAGACTTTTCATCCTTGGACCCTTTTCTGCGTGGAGGAGACACCTTTTGCACTTTTTCATCTGTATCATTTAGTGAATAAGAGTTCATCTTTTGACTGGTAGAGTCACTGTGTGAGTTCTTCACTTCAAACCTCTCCCTGTCCATTGGAGCAGAAACCAAACCTTTTTCCTCTCGCCCATTTAATAGGTAATTTGAAGAAAAACCAAATAACTGTTTATCAACAGTAGCAGCAGAGCTTTGCAAAGAATTTTCCTTTTCAAGAAATTTCCTGCCCATATCCATTGTTTTCTCTTGACGTTGATCATTAAAATCCTCTGCACCAGCACTAGCTGGAAGGGTTGATGTAGATGAAACCTCCTTATTACTTTGTGGTACAGGATTTGGGACTTGGTCTTTTTTAGGATTCCCACTTTTGGATAGACTTTTAACCCTGTTCACATTATGCTAGAACAGTTAATATAATCAAATCAAACATGAATGTACATTAAAGAAAGAATGACCAAATGAGGTATCACATACCGATCTGCATATCTCAAGGTATTAAGCGTGTGTTCACAAGACCCAGCACCTGGAGATATACAAGAGATCATAACAGTCTTTGAATTACCGACAAAGGAGTCACGAAGCACTTCTGTAAGTTTGCTTCCCCGAAATGGAATATGGATCTGGTCATTGTCTAAAGCACGAATGCACTCCTTCAAAGCCAAAAGGCTTTTATTGATTTCTGCTCCTTCAATCCTATAGCAGAGATACATTAAAATTGCAGTGAATTGTTTTGTTAAATGTTAATATAATAAAATATGCTTGATCTGAAGGGATGGAAGGAAGCCAATTCTTGTTTTCAGCAGTTACATCAAAACAACATACTAAAAGTACGACAACAGAATAGCCATGATGTCAGTACATTTGATTTATATTTTAAAGTAATCCTGCATTATCAATAATTTAACAAATCTATCCAAGAAGGAGAACACCCATCAATTCCCCGTGCCATATTTTCCAGCTCAACAACTGTGGCTTTGATTTGATTTTGTTGCAAACAAATGGTGTTATAAATTGAAGAATTTTGGGCTCAACTGTGCAAGGCACGGGCACTTATCTCAACATTATCAAGTAAGAATAATTTGTGCAACTAGGTAGTCCTCAGTTTATTATATTAAATCAACTTCAAAATTTTAAAACATCAAAGCAATAACTCCAAATTCTTAGACAGACAAATAAGAAAATACATGTGTAATTTTGTTATGAGTCACATATTAAGTAGAATCCAAGCTTTATGTGATACTTATGTCACGAGACTTTTCCTCTTAATGGACTAGTCTCTTGGGTTAATCTCTACTCATGTGTTAAGTTGTAATAAATAGCACTTCTATGATCTCACACCAAGTAAAATAGGAAGCTCAATGTTGTTTTATTTAAGCTATGAGGCTAAACCAACTAAGAGACTACTCTTTTAGGTTGGACTCTCCTTATATGCATAAGTCATAACGTCTTTTCATTGAAAGTTGGACTATGAAAAGGGTTACCTATAGAGTATAGACTGAATTAAGGTACAACATACCAAATACTAATGGGTGAGTGATGCACCAGGCTACCAACTAAGTCAATGTTAGTGAAGTTTCCGTGGACATTAGCTCTTAAAGGGAGTGGCAATGATACAAGTCTCACACTGAATAAAATAATGTGATACTTTTGCAATGAGACCCTCCCACCAAAGTTATATATAATATAACTTAAGCATGTGATGAGAGCTCAACCTAAAATACTAAGCCATTAAGTAGGAGAGTCCGAGAGTCCATTGACTTAAGCACCAAATTGAGCTTCTAATTCTACTCAACATGATACTCGTAACAAATGTACCATCAAGTTTGAAATGTTCATTTTTACTATAAGAACACTATAATAATTTCACATAAACTCAGTAGCTACTAAAAGTTTACTCTCAGCCAGAAATAATAAGTAGCAAATAGAATCAGAAAAATTAGATGGTTTCAGTTACCTTCTTCCATTAAAACAGTTTCTGTTTCTTACTGCTGTTATCGTTAAAATAGTTGACAAAGTTAAGTAAAAAAGCTAAGAAAAAAGGAAAAGAGCTTGTTTGTATCAGTTATACAGAGATTTTCAATATTGATCCACCTTAATACCACACCCAAAAATTCAGATTGGGTATCAATCAACTTGTCTAAACGAGTTGTTCAAAAGTCTTCATGCATAGACTATTCTAAAAAGCACTATCAAGCAGTTGATTTTTCACGAGTTTGAAAAATTATGAAAATAATTTTAATGTAGACTTACCGTGTCTGACGATCATTATCAGTAGTGTCAGCACCTCGTTCACTTCCAGCAAGATCAATAAAGGAAATTTTTCCCACAACCTTCCCACTTCTTGCCTCGTTTCCATCATTGTTCCGCTTGCTCTCTTTTACTTCACTGTGCTTCTTTACAACCAGTTGTAAGATAGCATGTGATCTGGAGGACTCCTCATTAGCACCAGTGGATCCTGTACTTCTTGCAGCATTTCCCTTTTCAATGAATTCTTTGACAATTTGTACATCAGAAACTTCAAATTCTTGCAGTCCTACAATGCAAACTTGCTGCCGTCCATCTTCCCTCATACAAAGTTTCCTATTCATATAGTAATAAATACAAGCCATTCAGCAATAGATTAACAGCGCCACCAAAGAGAAAATAAAACATGCAGGTTGATGCACTAAGCAAGATGACACATGTAAATGCATATAATTGAGACATAGATATTTACACACATACAGCCAAAACAAAGAAAAATAAATGTTTGATATAAAGGTAAAGTTACTGAGTAATACTTGATATTGGAACAAATATTTAGTAAAGCAGTTGAATCCCCAATACACATTAAAAATGTTGCCTTCTAATCAAGACCCAAATCAATATATAAAGAACTTATACCACAGGTGTAATACCATAATGGCTTCAAGAAAAACCGTTTGGCAACACTACCATCACATGCATTTAAATAACACACCCAGTGTATTCATATAAAAGATTGAATACCCACTTTCTGTCACTGAGAAGATCATAAAGTTTTCCACCATATATCTCAAAGTAGCTAAGCCACAATTTAAATCTTTGATTCCGGTAAACTGGCTGATGCAACTGTCGTACAAGGTCTTCTGCAGCTCTGAGTGGTAAAGGTTGCATTGTG